ATGGGGACCGAGCGGGAATCGAACCCGCGACCTCGGTGTTGTCATTGTCAGCACCATGCTCAAACCACTGAGCTAACCAGCCCCCTATGAGAAACAGTATCAAAGGCTTTACTGAAGTCAGGGTATATGACATCTACTGCTCTCCCTTCATCTAATCATTTGGTCACACTTTCATAGAAAGATATCAGATTAGTCAAACAGGATTTCCCTTAGTAAATACATGCTGGCTACTCCTGATAACCTTCTTTTCTTCCATTTGCTTAGAGATAGCCTTCAGAATGAGTCGCTCCATCACCTTTCTGGGGATGGAGGTGAGGCTGACTGGTCTGTAGTTGCCTGGGTCCTTGTTGCCCCTTTTGAAGACTGGAGTGACAGTGGCTTTATTCCAGATGTTGTACATGACGTTGCACTCATTGAAAGATGAGACTAATTATACTAAGACTTCAAAGATAAGCCATGCCATAGCAATGTAACTTAGTCCAGTATTTTATTTAAAAAGCAAAATTCAATGTGTGGTAGATCATAAGGCATACATACTTTGAACTTGCAGTTTCATCTTCCAGCGGTCCCAATTCCCGAGACACTTTATCTGTCACATACACATCGTTATCTCGTGTTTCATCTTCATCATCACTACTCAGTACACAGCTATCTGACTGTCGCTGGCTTCTTAGTCTAAGATTTCTCCTCTGTCGTTGATTTTCTGTAATTTAAGTTTGGTTAGTTAAATACAATTCATACAGCTCTGTGGAGCTACCCTTGAAATGCACAATTATAAATAGTCTCTAGTGGTAGATCTTTTAAATGGATCATACTCAGCTGGGTTAAAATAAAACAAACTAGTTTCCTAAGTATTAAGGCTGAACACTTGGAGACATTGTGAATACTCTGCTACATATTGACATGAAAATTTGTTCTCTTCACCCTATAAACAGCTAAGACATGATGTTGTTTAAAATTCCAGTGTTTTAAGTTTCATACAGTTTTACTGCCTGTGAAGAAACCTCCCCTATAAAGGGAGGTTACCTCTCCCGATTTTTACTAACAGAGAATGCATTGACACTGTGTTGAGGAATTAGAATTACTGTGTGACACAAGTGAGAGAAAGAGCGGGATGAAGCTAAGTTTCCAAGAAGGATGGTGAGGTAGTACAGACACAACAAAAAGGCCTGGCAAAGTTCAGAAAGTTTCAGAAGTGATGCAACTGATGCTTAAAACTAAAAATGTAAATTATGGAGCTGCCGTGCTTCATAGAATCATAGAATGGCCTAGGCTGGAAGGGACCTTAGAGATCGTTTTAAACCAGCCTCCCTGTCGCCAGGGACGCCACCTGTCAACTAGATCAGGCAACACATGGGGACCTTCCTCACTGCTCTATCCCGATATGATGCTACTTCACAGAATGGCCTAGGCTGGAAGGGACCTTAGAGATCATCTAGTCCAACCTCCCTGTCATGAGCAGGGACACCACCTCTTGATTAGACCAGGCAACACACGGGGACCGAGCGGGAATCGAACCCGCGATCTCAGTGTTGTCATTGTTGTCAGCGCCACGCTCAAACCACTGAGCTAACCAGCCCCCTACTCTTTTTGTCCGTGTTAAGGCAAACCTCCTTACTCCACGACAGCTCCTATAAAATTAGTTTTTTTAAGAACTGTACTTGGAAATTATAAAAATACTCCTGTGTCCCCTTATATTATAAAATCATAAAAATACTACAGTGTCTCTTTAGACATTTTCATCAGTTTTGTCCTGATTTAAGGTACTTTTAAAATGGGAGTTACACTGCACAAGCTACAAGGAAACAAAAAAAAATTTGCCTGATCTCTAACATCCAAAGGTTAAAGAATTGCTGTTTGCTTTTTAACAATTAGAAACTGCATGCAATAATTATCTCTAAAACTCTGGTGTATAGGTAACAATAATCAAGCACTAATCAATTAAAATTACATAAACAGCAACAAAATCAAGGTTCTTTCCTGCATAAATATTCAGCTACAACTTATTTCAAGCATATTTTACTTGCTCTTGCTTCACTGAGAGCACAGCATATATAACATTCTAAGTAAGCAGCTAGCAACATACTAATACATCCGATATTATAACCAGAACAAGGTCTGGAAGGTGTAAAGGATTAACTTCTTTGTAACTACTGTAACATCTAAAATAGAAAAAAAAAATAATAAAAAGCACATCTTAATACTTCTCAGTACTACATTTAAAATATGTTATATTAGATATTGAAAGTGAACATCATGACCACAAATAACTTCCTTCTTTTGTTCCTTCATTGCCACATGGGGTAAAAAAGCCTGCTGACATTTTCTTACTCAAAGCAGGTATTCCAGCGATAAGCTCAAATTTGATGGTAATTTTACTTCAGAGCTTCTGTATTTGGAAAGTACAAAAACATATTTTGATCGGCTTTGATGGTTTTTATTTCAGATGCTTTCTACAAGCTCAGATGGCCGCTATCAAACACAGATCGAATCCATTCTTTAAAGACAGATACTTTAGCCCTGTCCTTTTTTTCAGTAAATGCCGTTTCCATCCCTGCTGCTCAAGTTTGTTGGGAAGAAAAAAAATAATCAGGGCAATTCCATTAGGACTGGGAAAACATCAACTCACCTTCAACAATCTTGCATCCATACATGTGGGAAGGGAGAGAAAAGAAAAGACCATTAGACCTTGGTGTGCACCCCTACTGTTACATACAAACATCACTAAGCTAAGCCATCACAGTAGAACAAGCTCAGAATGACAGGCTGTCACTCTTTTTCTTTTGATTAAGTTAGTTTCTGCTCTGAAAAATAAGGAAGTGCTTGTTTCTGGCTCTGCTCACGCTGCTGTAAGGGGACAGAACTGGAGGCATGAAGCACCTGAACACCCTCCTCCCTACTCCCTAGCTTCAGTACCCTAATTTGCTTTAGGCTGGAGGGGATTCTTTCCCTCTTCCTTCCTCCGACAGGCAAATTCAGGTGTTAACACTCAGAAACAGCTCATATCACATTAACAGTTCATGAAGTAAAAAGCCCCAACCCTAAATCCACTATTGTCTGTGGTGGACCTACAGCTGGGGCAAAGCAGATTATATCACAAAGTTTCGAGGCCTTTTCTTTGCAAGGCTCAGGATGAATACAGACAGAGATACCCTTGTGCTATTCCTCCTTCTGGTTTGCATGGCAGCAGTGACATCCCAAAATTGAGGTCATAAACTACATTGTGGACTGGTTCAAATACTGTGCCACTTTTAGCAGTAGGAAAAAAAAGAAAAAAGAGGATTTTTCAAGAAATTTTCAAGTAATAAACTGAAGTCCAAAGTACGTAGTACCAGAGTCACCTACAGTTACACTTGGTATGGATCTGATTTGAGTACTTTAAATTAATGTTTCAGCTAGACACTTGATTATTGTGAAGTTAAAGATTAACTGTTACCTCCTTCACTTTTTATTTAATTTATTGGCCTATATCTCTGATATATCTAGAACAGATTCAAATAGCTTTAAATTCCATCTTTTTATGCCACAATACCCACCACTGGTATATATTCTCCCCAAGGTCTGGTGCAAAAAAAAACTTTAGATCACCCTCTCACTTCAATAGCTTTCATGCATTGACAAGTCAACTTGGAACTTAAAACTTATCCTTAAAGCACCACACAAACCTAACTTCACTACAAGAGCTAGATAAGCGTGTTCATTCACTACTTACCACAACAGAGTCGTTGTGAGTTAGATCAACGACTACAGGATCAGAAGTTTCACATGTGAGATCTACTACTTCTTCACCGGCTTAAAAACAGAATGTCAGAAACAAGATCTGAGATTGCAGAGGAGTAAGTTTGCCTGCCACTGCGCAACGGGATACTCTTCAGGAACACATCCAACATTTCACCCAAGCCCTGCCCTCAACAGTCCACACAGAGCACTACCACCACTGACTTCCGCAAGTTGCAGTGCAAGAGGAATAGCAGCTGCGTCCCTCGTACAGTTCTGTTGTATGACAACAGCTTCCGAGAGGTACCTGGCAACAGATTATTCATCTAACACAGGAGAGTGTTTATCACATAGAATAAAATACGAATCATACAGGATATTAGCTTAAAGATTCCAGTGTCATAAGTTTTTACAGTAATTTTGCAGTACTATACTGCAATTATTACAATAACTTTACACTACTATGCTGTAAATGTTTCTGTCTCATGTCTCTTCCAATCTTTCATACTCAAATGCACAGCAAAAGCAAAAAAGCTATAGAATTACCAGGAGACCAACAGTTACTATTATTCTTTCCTAGGATTTCAGAAGACAATTTAGCTATCTACTTTTGAGGTCAAGGAAATTTTTATAAATCTGAAGTTTTTGTAAAAATGTACTGACCAAATACTGCCTCTCCATTGACAAATAAGGCACAACTAATGACAAATTTTAATTATCTTCTTAAATCTTGAGAGTTCCCAAACTCAGTTGGCCACTATCTGTAGCTGCAGCGACTCTTGGCTCAGACTGGACATTCTGATCTTTGAGCAGCACTTGACGCCTTCCTTAAACAACTCTCTCCCATCATGAGTGGGGAATGGGTCACATCTCAGTAATCAACAAAATCAGCTGTCAGTAGGCTTGCTGTTTAGGTATGCCATACTAGATGCTTTCTAAAATCAGCCGTTTTCCCACCTCCCCAGGAAAGGGCTCAGAAACTGACAAAATCATACACTTAAGTGTGACCTCGACCCTCCAGAAGCAGTTTATATTCTTACCAAATTGAAAAGAAAGCTTACCACTTTCTTCAAGTTCTATCGGTTCTGCTTCTGAAGCCATTTCTGCAGTAGAAGCTGTCAGTCTGTTTCGCTTCTGACCTTGCCTGGAGTTAACTGCTCCTCCACGGCGCTTTCGTTGATTCTGAGAGAGAACAAAGCCTCAGCATTTTCCTTTCAAGTAACCACAGAATCACTAAACATGGAATCATAGAATGTTAGGGGTTGGAAAGAACCTTTTGAGATCATCTAGTCCAATCCTACTGCCAGAGCAGGATCACCTAGGGCAGCCACACAGGAACACATCCAGGCGGATTTTGAAAATCTCCAGAGGAGGAGACTCCACAACCTCTCTGGGCAGCTTGTTCCAGAGTTCCATTACCCTCACAGTAAAGAAGTTTCTCCTCATGTGGAGATGGAACTTCTTATGTTCTTATTTCTTGTTCTATTGCTGAGCACCAGTGAAAAGAGATTGTCCCCTTCTTGACACCCACACCTCAGATATTTATATATGTTAATAAGATCCCCTCTCAGCTGTCTCCTTTCAATGCTCAACAGCCCCAGTTCTCTCAGTCTCTCTTCATAGGAGAGATGTTCAAGTCCCTTAATTATTAAGGTCGAAAAGGACCTCTAGGATCATTAAGTCCAATCATCAATCCAACACTACCGTGACCACTGAACTATGTCCTGAAGTGCCACATCTACGTGTTTTTTTTAAAATCTCCAATGATGGTGAATCCACCACTTCTCCAGGCAGCCTGTTCCAATATTCCATCACTCTCTTAGTACAGAAATCTTTCCTAATATCCACTCTAAACCTTTCCTGGCATAACTTGAGGTCGTTTCCTCTCATCCTATCACTCGTTACGTGGGAGAAGAGACCAACCACCACCTCTGTACAACCTCCTTTAAGGTAGCTGTAGAGAGCAATGAGGTCTCCCCTTAGACTCCTCCAAACTAAACAGGCCCAGTTCCCTTAGTCACTCCTTGTAAGACTTGTTCTCCAGGCCCCTCATCAGCTTCGCTGCCCTTCTCTGGACTTACTCCATCACCTCACCGTCTTTCTTATACTGCAGCACCCAAAACTGAACATAGTATTCAAGCAGTGGCCTAACCAGTGCTGAGTACAGGAACACAATCACTTCCCTGCTCCTGCCAGACACACTGTTCCTGATACAGGCCAGGATGTCGTTGGCCTTCTTGGCCACCTGGGCACGCTGCGGCCTCATGTTCAGCTGGCTCCCCCCCAGCATCCGCTGCAGGTCCTTTTCTGCCAGGCAGCTCTCCAGCCACTCCTCCCCAAGTCTGTAGCACTGCTTGGGGTTGTTGTGACTCAAGTGCAGGACCCAGCACTTGTCTTGCTGAAGCTCATACAACTGGCCTTGGCCCAGTGATCCAGCCTGTCCATGGCCCTCGCAGAGCCTCCTCACCCTTCAGCAGATCAACACTCCCACTCAATTTGGTGCCATCTGTGATCTCACTGAGGATGCACTCAATCTCCTCACCCAGATCATTGATGAAGATATAAAATGAGAGCGGCCCCAAAACTGAACCATGGTGAACACTACTTGTGACCAGTCGCCAACTGGATTTAACTCCATTCACCACAAATCTTTGGGCACAGCCATCCAGTCAGTTTTTATTAGTGTGGCCCTCAGTTTTGCAGGGTCAATGAAAGTACACAAAGATACACAGAATGCTCCCCAAAAAGGCTCCAATGTGAACTCAATGGTGGTAATGGTCACTCCCACTAGGATACATCGCATCGAAGAAAAAACATCAACGCAGATCTCTTACCAGTTGGCTCATGAAGGAAAAACATATCGTCATGGCCTGAAAATCAGAAGACTAGGTCACAATTATATCAGATTTCTGCTAACATTTCTGAACTAGTGCTGGCACCTACAGCGATTAAATACCTTAGGCATCACAGAAGATGAAATTCCATCACATTTTAACATGCTCAGGTTTCAGCACTGTATTTAGTACAAACTCTTAAAATAATTTCCAGAACTACCACAAAAAAACATGTTTTAATAGACTCATGTTTGCATTGAGTAGCAAAATACTTACTGTGCTCATGGTGTTTCTTTATGGAAAACCACAGAGAAAGGAAGAGATACCCAAAAGGTAATTGCCAGGAAGCTACAAGTATAAATTCCTTCTATTCCTCTAGGCAGCACACTGTTTAAAAAGTCCAGATTTCTTAAGGTCTGAGAATAATGTTCTTCCAAACCTAGAAGAAAAGAAGGAAAAAGATGACCTGTCTGTAATGCTTGTCCTCTCCAAGAGTCCCATTGCTGAGGTTTCTGTCCAAAGCTAGAAGGGAAATCCCAGAGTTTGGTATTTGAGCCTCAGACACCTGCAGCTGGGCCTGGAGCATCAGTCTTTCATACCCATTTCCTAAACTAAACACCCAAATCCACTGGTTTGTTAGGAAAAAAAACAGGTTTGTCAGGCACGATATGTCCTTAGTCAAGCCATGGTGACTGTCATCAACTGCCCCCTAGGAACCAGCCTTAAACCTGAGCACACCTGCACTTTCAAGCTAGCTTCTCAAAGATGAGCTACTATCTTCATCTAACAGCTACAACTAAAATGGAAAATGACTTAGGCAAAGCAGTTTTGTGCACACATGCATACAGCAGGAGGATGAGCAAGACCGAGCAACCTATGAGGCTTATTAAGAAGTTATGCCATTAGATTCTGTCTAAGTTTATTTCACCAAGAAAGCCAAGAGACATTTTCCTTTATTCTCCTCAGACATTAGAAAAAAATATTTAGACAAGCTGGGACATATTAGCTGCTACACATATCTGAGCATTACAAAGAAATAAGCTTTATATAACATTATTTTGAGTTATAAGTTGTTAGAACTGTTTTAAAATAGAACCTTTTAAAGCAATCTGATACACTGACATATCTGCACTGCTGAAAGACGTCAAAAACCAAGTCATCAGCAGAATGGTTTTGGATGTAAAGTACCCGGAAGGTTTCACAAGACCTGGTGCTTTTTGGCTTTGACTCTGAATACAGCTCACTGCATCAGTATATTGACAAAATGTCTCTAGAAAAGGCTAAAAATATAGGAAGAGCAAGCACCTGGTATGACCCCAAAAATAAAATGCTGTACAGATTCTCTTTGACCACAAGTGGCTTAACCACCAAAGAAAAGCTATCACAAATAACAAACAATCAAACCTCAGCAAACAACCCAAACAAACTTAAAACTAAAAATTCTGGTGAACAGAAAACCAAAGTAATACACAACGGAAGAGCTGTCACACTAAGACCACTTGACTCATGTTAAATATCCATATGCTTCTTTACCAAGACACCAAGGAACAGATTACAGGATTACTACAACATGTCTCAGAGGATCTACCAGACCTAAAAGGCAACACATGACAGAGCCACTTCATGAACTGACACAGAGCACCACTATTTAATTTTCAGAATCTTACAACATTGGCAGTAGGCTTTCTTAGTACCTCATACAGAGTACACAAATAAGCTGCTAATGGCTCAAAACTTAACTTCTTCAGAAGCTTTTTCTGAAGAAGGCAGATGAGAACAAATTACACGCAGGGAAGCTCATCACTGTAAACCCACCTTCAAATACGTCATCATAGGCAGGTTGATGAGTATCAACAAGACTCAGCTCAGTAGAGTCATGTTTATAAAGAAAATCAGATTGCTGGAATTTATAACAACTATGTCAGGAGTCTCACGATCCAGCAACTTTTTTGCCTTTGTAAAAACAAATCTCTTCTGTGGTGCTATAGATTTCCACATGTTATTGGCTTACTCAGGAAACTTCACTGAAAGTTAATTACCCAAACTGTAAGAACTGGTAGCAAAAATAAAGCTAAGCTTACTTTCATGAACACACCACAAACCAAGTCAGCAGTGCACGAGAACAGAGGTCAACAAAACAGCTCCAAGTTTTGCACATTTAGAGATTCTCAAAACCTCAGGACCACTCAATTTAATAATATTATTTGTTATACAGCACTGGATAGCCCAAACTAAATGATAAGCCCTATATGGCACCTCCTTCAGCAGTCACTATGAAAGCCAGCACCAAGATTCCAAAGCCTGGACGATACAGAGAGAGTCACTGCATCAACCTTCCTCCTCTCAACCCAGAAGCATCAAATACCTCCAGGTGAAGCTGTTAGCAAGCTCATCTATCACACACTTGTAGCAAGATGCATTCAGACATCAATTCAAAATTCTAGAATTAAGAGGTTTGGGTTTTTTTTTTTAAAAAAAAAAATCACCATAAGTCTTTTTTTTTTTTTACTATTTAAATACGAAAACTTGGCAGATCAACTTAGCAAGCCAGTAAATACTTAAAAATTTTTACTGACTTATTGCATCACTGCAGGGTACCAGAAAACAAACTCCCTCTTCCTCCCACAGGCAGAGCTCTGTACATGCAGTTACTGTTCCTGTCATTTAGCTCTCCCAAGGGCTTATGTAATGTTGTATTTGTAACAGAAAAGTTCAAGGCTAACTCACTAGCTTTCTCTATACAGGTAGACACCTGAGAAACACAAATGTAAAGCCATTTAAAGTAAGAATGTTTACACTAGGAGTAAAAGAATATTGATTCCCATATTCATAATTTAAGTCTCCTGCTAGATTTTTTTCCTTTATAAAACAGTTGACATTTTCACTGAGTGTGAACTGACCTAATTTAATATGTTTGAATTATAATTACAAAACCTTGATTCTCTAGACAACATGAACTGCAAACTTTTCTTAGGCCACGCTGAAAACAAAGTCTTGGTCTCCCACCTGCTTACCATGAATTGAGACAAATTAGCTTAAGCAAGCTTAAACAAGACTTAACTTAGAAGTAAACAAGACTTTACCTCATAATCATCCTAAACATTACAAATATACTGAAGTAACTACTGGAGGAAAGCAATAACGTCAGTCTAAATGTCTGCTGTGTGCAAGGCGACAAAACCAGTATCCACTGTATTTGTCAAAACATGATATACCAGGTCTTTAAGACCTTCCTTCTCATTGCTACTCTTAAGACATCTCTTTGCACTCCTAACAACAGGAAGCACCGTACCAAAGATGCAGCACGTATATCAAAACATTTCTTTGGTCAGAAGATGCACATACCAATCGCAAAGCACTGGTCTTCATTTTTTTTGCCACAAGGAACATTTTACTATTTCAAAACTTCCCTGTCATGTGTACTTCCAGTATCTTTAAATACATCCTTACTTTTTCAGATGCACTACAGCAGCCTGAGTGAAAACAGAAGCTAAGTCTATTACGCTTTATCTAAATTAGGTCAAGCAGTCCCATACTATAAAAGCTTGGCATAAAAAAAGTAAAGATGAGAGATAAATAGCCTACCCTAGGACTGCTCTAAGCAGTCAGCTACATCTACAGACAAATGACACGTTTATGAGCCGCCTAACAACAACAACAACTAACAAAATCCAAAACAAAATGAAAGAGCTAACAAAACGTACCAAAACTTTTTGTTGATCAGATATCCTATTTCATCATCAAAAAAACCCCACCCCCAAACAGATGAAGACTGGCCAGAAGAAAAGGTCCTCTCATGTGCAGAAGTTTGTCTAAGAGACACTACAGCTTATTTCAACAGCCCCAGAATCAGATACAGAAGAAAGGGAAAAGAAGTTGTCCTTTCACATCCCGTAATGGAGAGTGCAGGCGGATGCCGAGGTAGGAGAAGGGCTCCCTCCGCTCCCGCTGTCATACGAAATGGGAGGACAGACCAACAACTCCACGCAGCTGCACCTACCGCACCCCGAGCTGCTCCTCCGGAGGACAGGAGGGTCGCAACGCCCTTCTCTCTCCTCTAGCACCTGTCTCTCTTGGCCACCTCCGGACACCCTCCGGGCGGGCCTGGCAGCGAGCACCGCAAGAGGCCGAGCGGGCTGTGCGCGGGGCCCGGCTCCTCTCGCCTCCCACAGAGCAGGGGGCAGAGGGCGGACGCAGGCCTGTGCTCCCA